AACTGTTAACCTTTAATCAAATATTGAAAGGGAACATTCATATACGTGATATGTAGCTGCTTTAATCTATTAAAATGTGAACTAATTTTCATGGAATATTGACTTCTTTGATAACACCGCTTAATATGAATCAATAGTAAATACGTTAATAAGATAGATTTTTCTCTAGAATCTTCGAAAACACTTGTTTTATAATTGAACTAATCGTAAGAACTTTATTAACAAAGTCTACATCTAGCTCAGTGGTTCATGATAAGTTAAACATACGACAGTGTTATCATTGTTTTATTATTAAGAATTCATTACGACTAAACAATACGGGTCAGTAAACAAGAACACTTTACTTTCTGAAACACTAAAAGGACACATAATATAAACTTTCTCGAAAAGAAAATACCTTTCTCTTTCTGAAACTTAGAATGTTCACTCTGAATTATCGATACAACACTTCCTATAAAATCAATATCACTTAGACTCTTATAACATTCATTACTATTAACGTTATTTTAACAACTTCTTAATAGAATGAACTTTTAATGGATGATTTATCTTCAAACTTGACTGTCAATCAAAGTTTTTTTTATTTCGTAAGATGATGGAAAGTATTCCTTTTCAGTTTATGTTTCGTAACGAAATACCAATACGAGGTAGACCGTAATCGCTACTATCCATTGTGGGTCTTATAGTTACAGAAAAACGATTTAAAATTAAGATATTATGCGGTACAGCTCTCTGGTAGAGAATTATTGTTAATTGAAATGTGAATAAACAAAAGAAAATACAAGTCAAATATGAAAGTTTTGACTAACAAACCATAACTACTATATCTACACTTGAAGATAAAAACTCAAAGCACTAATTACCATCATGTAATTTTTTTTAGTAAATATAACTTTCCGAGAATTGACCATCGTACAAATTTTATGTTTGTATATAAATATCATCTACTTTGCCATTTTAAACTCTTTTAGCTTCGATCGTTTAGTCGTTTTCGAGTTTCCTTCTAGCATACTGTTTAAAAAGTGAGCAACCCCAAGTTTGAATCCCGTGAGATTTTGATGGACCGCCCAAAAAGAGTGATCATTCGACTGATTTAAAACAACTTAAAATCCACAAAACAAATTAAATATAATATTATCATGAAAATAAATTCATTTGTGAAGTTGAATTAGTGATTCAATTACCGTACTCTGTATGTATGAAGGCTGGCGATAAGTTAGGCCAAACAAACATACTGTTCAGTCTTAAGTGATAAGAGATACCGACAGCTCCACGTAGTTAATCAAGGTTTGTCTTGACTTTCTGAAGCCATAGATACACGTTATTGATAAAAAAACCTTGCTTAGTTTTTTGCAACAAATTTATATTTGAGTTTATCTACACACTTTGATCTGAGATAGTCGAAAAAAGCTTCCTACTTATTCTGGTTGTATCAATATCGGAAATTGGATGATCTACCAACATAACAGCCTAGTAAAAATACCGCCATGCTGCAGAAAAAAATAGTTTTAGTGGTACTCATTCTTTCGTATTAATATCAGTCGACTCCACATACCTGTAAGATTTTAATATCTGTTATATAACTTCAGTTATAGTTGTCATCTAAAATTTCACAGAAATACAGTAGGAAATTATAAACTAAAATGAACTACTATTCTATAAATGAACCTTCAGAAACTAGTCATAAGATAGTCAAAATTCACTATCACACTCCACTCCTCACTATTCACAGAATTTCATACATCGAGGTGCAAAGTTACAATTCCGTTAAATAATTCTAGATTAGGATGAATCGTAGATGAGTTTTACGAGGTATTGAAACATGGATTAACTGGTTAATAACAATAAGAGTCATGATATCGTAATCAGTTTTTACTTGAATATTTAACTGCTTGGTAAATAAAGCTTAATCTCAAACTTTAATTCTTCCAGCGTATATTTTAATCTTCTTTTGATAACAAACTACTTGAGATGGAACAAAAATAAGCATATTAATAATGACCTAGTATGTGTCAATGCTATTGATAATTACTTTTTTATGTACACAATAAACATAACTAAGTTTGTAACTGAACTGAGAAATATTTTCACGAGAAAAACAAGCAAACAAACGGAAAATAGTTTATGAAACATTAGAAAGTGTAGTGAAAAGTTGCAACTGAACGATTTGTTTGATCAGTCATATAGTTTCACGAATTAAATATGATTGGCAAAATGATAACTTAATCACCAAATATTAATGTCCTTCTTCAAAAACATTTTACGGTCAATCACGGAGTGAAAGTCGAAAATAAACGTTGCTAAAAAGATTTGAATTAAAAAGGTCCACAGTTTCCACTCAATTGCCTCCAACCATCCAAAATTACAACATAATATACGCGATGTCTAGTAACTTCATCGAAAGAGTTTGATAACCACTAACGTACTAAGTAGACATAACAATGGCCAGTATTCACTTCTGCAGGAGGTCGGTCGTGTCCCGAATAGTTTAGCAGTAATGCCGGAGGTGGTGAGAGTCAGCCCACCTTCTCGAAATGCTCTCACGTGGCCACGTGTATACAGCCACTGCCAGGGAACTCCTACTCACTACCTTCTCATGGGGGGGTTCCCACGAAATCGAGAGGATTAAAAGCGAATGCCTGTTTTAACCGGACTGGTGAACATGGAGGATCCACCTAGGGAAGTTGGATAACTCTGATTCCAAACCAATTGTGCACATGGGATCCAGTGGGAACAAATGGCGTATGAGCCGATTATTGGCCACCGGCTACTATGGGACTGCATCTCTTGACGTTGCTCCGCTGCCTTGTGGATCGCACTCTTGGGCCGAAGGCTCCAGGCGCGGACCCGTATGAAAACCACTTTTTTCGGCCTGGGCACCGGACAGCATCTCAGCTAATACAAAAATCAAGTGACTTGTGTGGCGCATATGTAATCGGTGCCCTTTTGTACCAATATTTCTGTGTTCAAGCAAATAAATAAAGTAAAGAATTCAGAACGTGAAACCGAGCGATGTGGGTTCGAATCCTCCAGGGAATTTTATTTTCTTAGAGTTTAAAGGTATACTTTGCTAACGAATACCAAATAGTAAGAAGCTTAGATCCAAGGTTTCCTATCAACGACATCTAACCACCTAACCTCTCATAAAGAAAAATATTACCAGTGTCCAACTGCTCTCAATCTTCAAAAGGAGGTAAAATCTTCCCAAATATAAATTCAATGTATCAATAAGAGGAGAGAAACTATTCCAAAAAAAGCAACCGAAACAGCAATCATTTAGAACAAAGTTAGTACTTTATCAAGACTGACTCTAGGTCATATATTTATCGCATTCCCAAATATATATATTCATAGATAGATGCGAAAAATTAGCTAAATAAATTTAGAATGGGATTGTCAAATAAATTAAGAACAGAGAAAATAAATATAAGCGTATGACCAACAAGTAAGCGTAATAAATAAAGTGTAATGAATCATAAGCACAGAAAATAATCGAATAACCGTGTGGCTTAATTATATAAACCGTAATTGATTATTAATCACAACACCACAAGGAGATTATAATAGTTAGTCGACGACCGAATAGAATTGTGCCAATTAAAGAGATTTCAATCCAATCACTACTGAAATATGTACAGTACATAAAATTGCTTATTCTAATCTATTTGTTGAACTGTTGGATAGATTATAACTGATATGCACAATTCTGACCAATAATACGAACATACTTGCAGCGAAAATGATTCAATAACCTCGTAACCAAGGGTCGAAACGATAATTTAATTAGAAATGAAACTTCGAACACAGCAGGAACTGAATAGTGAACGTGTACATTACCGTTTGCATATACCACAGAATAGGCCATCGAACAGGTTACAAGTTTGCTTACAATTATATTCATTTTCCTTTCGTGTACATAACCAGTTTACTACGAATATAATCTTATATATATATTCAGAAATTTAATGAGGTTATTTATTCATTTGAACAAACCTATATCTATTCGCATCGCATATTATACGTGACATCCCAAACATTTACTGAGAAATTAGTAAATTTAATTACTAATTTGGAAAAAAACTTTCATTGACTTATCCAATAAGTATTAATTCTTAGATTAGGCATACTTGATAAGTAGAAATTTTTCAATTAAATTGAAAAATATTCAATGCAATGAAACAACCATAAACATAGTTTATACTGGTAAGCTAAAAACGTATTTCGGAGTATAATTGCGATTATATAACTAATAAAAACCCGTATTTCAATATCCTTCATTGATCCCTATAATTGAACCCGTAGACAAAATTTATATTTTATGTTCTTGAAGCAGTATTTATATAAATTATTTACAGGGTAGAAAAAGTAAAGTAACCAGTGTGTCATACATAACACAATTTTTTGAGATCTCATAAGATAACAAACGGGCTAACAGGTTATTCGTAAACGAAAAATAACTGCAACAATATACAACAGTACACAAGTATTCACATAGTTAAGAGACTGACAGATCAACTACTGATATAATCGCAGGGAAACTACACTAATTGACCACCTAGATCTAAAAAATTATCTGGTTGGTTCATCCTGCTTACTAATCCTTAATTAGTGATTTATGGTTATTTTAAATTTTCCTCTATGTTCTCCCAATATTGTTGTAACTGACGCATCGTTGGTCTTAGTAGTTTACTGATTTATCTGTAGTTACCGCACATTATATATAGATTACATGATAGTCGTTTCCACCCCACCACTTATTTCTTATTTCATCAGCTAAGCGATTAACATGTATATTAAATCCTTCAGTCACATAATTTTCTATAATCTAATTGTTACTTCAGTACTGTATAATATATCTTCCTTATTCTGCTAATGTGACATCATTAAGAAATAATTACTAACTCTAATCTCAAAGCAAGATGTTAATGATAACCCAATCCCCTTTTTAAGGTATATATTAATTATGACAGTTTTTATTGGCTTAATCCAAAGAATCAATTATGAGTAGCAATTAAATTTATTATGATTAAATACCTCCAGTAGTTTTTTTTTCAAATATATTTCACTACCAATGAATTCAGGAATGTTGACTAATATTAATACCTGGAAAATGCCAATAAAGTTAACAAATGAAGTCTACTAATCTACATTAAGTACATAAATGTCAAAGTTGAATATTTTAAAACTTTGACTAGTTGGATGGGAACACTGACAGAATAAAAGATTAACAGTAAAGGCCAAAAGGGGTGGTCTTACGTTTACAAGTTTGTGCGCATTTACAATAGAATCACAGACAATGCAAAAATTATTTACAATGAATTATAGTGATAAACACAAAAAGGACTAGTCCATGATATTAAGTACAATTACCTTTCTACAGAATCTGGCCTAAAAATTTGTAGAATCCACGAATTTTGATCGACACGAAAACCAAAATAACGAAACATGAAGCCATGCAATAAAAGAATCGAATGCTCCCATTACGGTAAAATGAAATTCAAACGCTTCAAAAAATTTCGAACCAATGACAGGCACAAATGCATAGCTGTTTAGGCACAAAACATTTGAATTTTTTTTAAAAGCATGTCAAGTGAGTTTGGTCACTTCAGGAATGTATAATCTCATTGAAGCCATTGATGGTAGAAACTGTTTATACATAGTTCGCAAACAAAGGTCAGAGTTAGAAGTGAAAATATGTGGCTAGTTATGTTTCGACAAGCAACATCACCAGGAACGAAAATGTACTAAACGAAGCCGATAAGACAAAAAGAGCGAATAAAAGACGTAAATACAATGCAACAATAAGCAAATTGAAGGGAACGACGAACAATGTGTACATACTGACAAAAGTGAATCAGAAATCCAAATTATGAACACATATTGACTACGTTACTTTAGCATAAATATTTACCAGTGATCACGAAATTAGAATATTAAGGTGAAAAGAGAAAAGAATCAGAAATCGAAAGTATCATTAAGATACAAAAAGACAATCTATAAAACTGTACATGTTTCGCTTTAATACAAACATGGAAACATCACAAGTAGTCTTCGAAAATCACAGTTCAGGCCTACATACTCGAGAAAGCATGGCAGGGTGTTCACGTAAAAGTGTACAATTACTGTTGTCAAAACAGCCTGAACCCAAACAGTAACACCAAGTGATAGTTACGGGGATGAAAGAGCCTGGTAAAAAGAGGCTAACATAAAAAGAGAAGTAGGACAGAATCGAAGGCGTAAGTTATCGTTAGTTGTTTTGGCAGATAAATACTTGTTTGCAGACTTCGAAGAACAAAACGATTATCTCAAGCTAACGTGAATAACATTAAAAAACCAGAAACGAAAATATAATCGGTAGAAACATGAAAAATCTTGTAAAGGAAGCAAATCAACTCGATAAAACAATTTCCGTATGTCTTTTTAGCAGTGAGATCAGGATTTTGGCGGCCAAAATCGCCGTGGGGATAATTATTGCACTGACAATTCATGGGAAATTATAGAAAAACGCTCTTCGTTTGATAGCGGTGAAGATTTGTTGTTTACCGGGAAACCTGGGGGTTGAAAGGTGATTGGTACTCTGAATCAAAAGATGATACAGGTAATCCTTGTTGAACACAAATATTTTCCCATAAGCCAGGTGGGACAAATGGTCGAATAGCAAAGAAGGCATGTTGATAACTTCGGATAAGCGTTAACTCTGAGTTTAATCGAGTTATTTCTGAACGTAAATTGACATTCTCAGCCAGAACAGTTGCCAATTCATCTCGAAAACTATTGACTAATGTCGAACGAATGGCCTCCTATAAAAAGAAAAACAAAACTATTGCTTAACATACCAAGACAATTTTTATGAACACAACAGGGATCTTTGTTTCAGAAGGCACATGTCACAAAAGTCAAATTAATCATCAACAAATTTACTTGACCATATCATCATAAGTAACACAGGACCTGGCACAAAGGTGCATCAGCCTAGGTTGCTGAGATATATGAGTATAGTTAGACGAAATAAATAAAAGTAATTTTATAGTAATACCATTCATGAATGGAGACAAATTAGGGATGGAGAATAAGGTTTGAATAAAAATAAAATTATAGGATAAAAAGTATGGGATAACACCGGAAATCAAGATGTAGATTAAGAATGGACGTATCTGCCTATGGTTGATGTCGTACTAAGAACTTTCTCTTTCGCCCTAAAGACAAATTAAATGTTTGTTTATCATCTCATTATTGCAGCTATTTGAAGCGAACTTGGACATGGATAACTGAATCTTGCGCTTATATTTCCTATCTTTTACGAAGGAAAGTAACCAAAACGACAAGAGTAATGTACCAATATTTTTTTGCTGCATCCTTATCTACTCAAGTTTTGACGAGTATATTACATGAAAGTTAGCTGTTTATTTTCCATGTATGTGAATTGTGCTTTAAAATTCCATTCCAATTCTGTGGTATTTCACTTAATCATTAGTGATATAAACCCTCACCAGATTTCAAATGATTCCTGCAACTCTATTTAACGCTGTAAGAGATGGATGGCATTTGTATCCGAAGAGGAAAGTAGTAAACACTGTATCTGAAGCTGTTTTGATGGATACTGTATCGTGAATGGTATGAAATCCATGGTGTTTTTACTGTGTATATTGCAACGTGGACTTTTTGAAGTGTTTCTTTTAATCCCAAGCTATTCCTACACCAGCTAGGATCATACATTGAGGTGGAAGGGGGCTCAGTAGAAACAATATGTCTCAGCCACCTCAATTGATGCAGATTCATAATCTCACCAAACGCTTTGCCATATTTACCTATACTCGACATTTAACCTTATCACTATTCACAAATGGCGGACCACGCATACACAAATAATGCTCTAAAGATACGTGACCTACAAATGTCCTCAACTTTCAGTCATTTTTCATTGTCATGAAAATATAGCGAATCATTGAGCAGTATACAACCCATTTCGTTAGCAGAGTGGTATAATTTTCTAAAAGCCAACCGAGCTTTCTGAATATGTCTCAATATTTCATCAGATAACAATCAACCACGGTTAATGAGGTTTCCAACTTACCATACTAGCACGGATTCGAGCCTCGAGACGATCTGATAATAGCGAAGATTCTCTGGAATTTTGGTAGTATTCAACTTCCTCGGCAAAATCGCTAGGGAACTTTATACCTTTTGGTGATCCAGAACTGGTCACATTATTAACAGTTAAAGGAGCGCATGTCCTAATGTAAAAAATATATGTAATAATAGCAATCGTTAAGGTAACAGTAATAGTCTAGGTAAATTTATACATAAAAGAAGTATAATCAAACTCTAAAAACTAATACACAATGGATACCAAAACGCTAGCAATAATAAACAAGGAAACTGTGAACTATAATCGATCATCTGATGAACATTGTTCTTAAAGCAACTGGAAGGAAGTAGTACACTACACTATATTAAATCGGAATAACACTGGATAAAAAAAAATTGTTTATCGATGAAAACTTAAACATACTTCGTTAGGATACATGAAAGAGTATTATTCATCATGTCAAGATTCCATGTTATCCTCATCTAGTTAGTCAACTACAGCAGATAACCTAGAACTTATGTGCATTGGTCAAAGTTGCCACTGTACATTAGCACAATGAAATGAACTTATCAAACCATGTCCTGGAGTGATAGAAATAGCAACAGTATCAGTTGCAGTGGAAAAGATTAGACATAGAGAATATGATTCGATGAAGCATGGGTTCGTGGAATAAAAGTGAGATAATCTAGAAAATAAGGATGTGAAGACAGAGAGTGAGTGCATCTGTTATTTTGGACAATTCTGAACCATATCACCCAAAAACTGTCTTCCCTTAAACTGAGATTAAAATCGCTTCATATCTTTCTTTCTACGAACTAATTCTTTCTTCATATACTATATCCTTATTGCGATCTTTCTTTTATATATTACCACCTCTGAATTAACTACTTTTATGAATCCGGTGTCCATCTTGTTGTGCTAATGAGGTATGGCAACTTGGATCGATGCATATATGTGCCTGGTCCTACGTTGTAGCTGACTGACTGGCGTAGGAGTAGTCAGTCAGTTACAACGTAGGACCAGGGACATATATGCATCGATCCAAGTTGCCCTACATCTCATTAACACAACAAGATGAACACCGAATTCATAGTAGTCACTTCAATGGTATTAATATATAAACGAAAGATTGTGTATAAGGATATAGTACATGAAGAAAGAATTAACTGGTATAAAGAAACATATAAGGCGATTTTAATCTCACGGTTTAAGGGAAGACAACGAGTGTGCACACCTAGGCCATTGTGATCGATTCTGAGTCATGTCGGAGATTTGTAGCTTAGGTGGATGATTTTGGTGGAGTTTTGTTCTCTGAGCTGGATGGTTTGGTTGTGGAGCTTTCATCGTTCTTCTGAACGACATCATCAGCACAAACCTCAGGTAGAAGTGAAGTGTTCAAATTTCTACATATGTGTTTCACAGCTTGTTCTGTGCACCTTGATGTTGATTGGTTTGTTGTTGTTTACTTCTTTGTTTCGGTTGTGTCTCCCATTGTTTTGGTTTTTGTTCTTATATTTGTGCATGATTTTCCTGATTGGTTGATAAATTGGATTGATTTCAATATGCTTGTTGATTGCTGGCTGACCTGAGTGCCAGGCTTCTAAAAATTCTCTGGTGTTTTTGGAGTTTCCTCTGTCTAAGATTTCCACATTTTTCCAATCGAGTGTCCGCAGTTATCCACATGTATTGATATAAGTGAGGAGATATCATGTCGTTTGACTGCTAACTGATGTTCATGTAGGCGAAGGTGAAGGGGGCGTCCGCTTTGTCCGATGTAGTGTTTTTCGCAGTTGGTACAATTTATTTTGTAGATGATGTTTGATTTGTTTTATTTTGTTGTTTCATCTTTTGGTTTGCATAGGATTGATTTTAGTAATTTTGTTGATTTGAGTGCCACACCTATTCCGAAGGTTTTCAGCAGTCACGTTGCGGTTTCTGATATTCCTTGTATATATGGTAGGGTGATCCTTTTGTTGATTTTCGTGCTTGACTTGAGTTCTGAAGCTGCGTGCGGTTGGTATTTTTTGATGAAGTTGATTGGGTAGCCGTTCTTTTGAAATACATCCTTCAAGTATTTCTCTTCGTTTCTTCGTGCTGCCCATGTGCTGCAGTGTGTCGTCGCCCTCTTGAAAAAATTGTGTACGCAGTCGATTTTGTGAGCTCTTGGGTTTTTGCTATTGTAGTTGAGAATTTGATCTGTATGGGTCGGTTTCCTATATACTTGAGTTTCCAGTTTTCCTGTGTCGGCTCTAGTGACCAATATATCCAAGAATGCTAGTTTGTTGTTTGACTCCTGTTCCATTGTGAACTTGATGTTATCGAAAACGTTGTTGATCAATTTGTAAGTGTTTTCTAGCTCATTTTTTCTGACTGACATCAAAACAAATCCTAAAGTAGTATAGGTAGTAACAGCGTCAGTAAAGGTAGAAAAGACCATTAGGAAGTTTGAGAAGTAACGGAGAGATTTGATAGTGGACAAGAGGATTTCGAGTGCGATTAGATGATGAGAACATTCGTAAGTTTTCCTTGGGGACATCAAAAGGAAACTGAGTTGGTAGTGGCTGTATACACTTCAGCGTGAAACCGCAGGGCTCAAAGAACAGCCCCTTGAGGCTGGCCACGCATGGTTTTCCTATGAAAACTTTTGATGTATCTTGATGCAACTGGAGACTGAAATCTGTGAGGTAAAGTGGCGTGTGACATGTTTAAAGTTAGCCTTTTCTAAACCTTTCCTTCCGTTTTGAGAAGGCAGAAGGGAAATACTTTATTGTCGCCACAATCTAGTACAGTCAGTTGTATGGCTCTGCCTTTGGACCTTGATTAGCGGCTTTTAGTTTCAGTCAGTCAGTCAGCTGCAACGTAGGACCAGGCACATATGTGCATCGGCCAGGTTGCCATACCGCATCAACACAACAAGATGAACAGCAGATTCATAACAGTGGTTAGGTAAAAGGTGGTAATATATAAGAGAAAGATTGCATATAGAGATATAGTACAAGCAGAAAGAATTGGTTCGTAGAAAGAAAGATATGAAGCGATTTTAATCTCAGAGTTTAAGGGAAGACAGGAAGTGTATACACCGACGCCATTGTGATCGATTCTGAGCCATGTCACCCAGAGTCACAAACCATTGGTTACGATAGTCACGCGGACCCCAACCAAGTAGTCTGCATCTACCAACATGGCCAAGACTAGAAGTTAGTGACTTCAAGGACTGGCTTGGCTTGGCCGCCCCTAACTTTCTCCTACACCAGACATCCCCCGCGGAGGCAAGTGGCGGCTGGGCATACGCAACACATGTTCCAGCCATCCCAGTTAAAGATTTACTACATAATCAATCAATTTGCTATCCTGACATGGTAACCAATACCTAACCCAAGGATTGCTAACACTATAGTCCCAAAATAAGCGAGCAATACTTCGAAGTTACCTGTGATCGAATACCAGTAATCCACGAACAACCTCTATTCTTAATGGCCGTGTTTCACACCCACAAAGTAGAACGGATAAAACTTATGTGTAGTAAACTCGTTTCTTGGTTGGCGGACAGATATCTCTCCTAGGCCGCAACTCAAACAAGTTGGCAAAAGTCAATCGAGCCTTCTGAATTCGTGCTGAAATCTCATCAAGTACGGGACAATCAGTACTGATGAGACTCCTTGGTCGGTGAGTCCAACTACTTCCTTCCGTATCATCAATTCAAGCGCTGACTCAGGTTTATCCAGAACTAACATTTAGCATGTGGACGGAGAAAACCCCACCGCAAACATCCTTGCACTGCTGCCTAGGGTGGTCAAAAGATTGAATCACGTCAGTTTTTTCACCAAATAAAACTATACCATGTGTATATTCTAAGTCAACAAGTGAATCTCCTGGTAGATCAATCCCTGAAACGTCAGACGATCAAAGTGTTATCTCTAGAAGCATGTCTATGACAAAGTTTAATAAAAGTGGGGAAAGCGGACAACCTTGAGGAAAACCATTCAAAGTGACCACTTTCGATGACCATTCGCTATAAGCTCTAACTCGCCCAGTAGTGTAGAAAACCTGTACACTGCTAATGACTTCATTGATACACCTTTCAATGACAGATTGCCGCAGAACTTCAGCCAAGGAAGTTAGGTGCTGTTTGTCAAGAAATACAACTATGGTTAGGAGTCGGTAGAAATGTCTGTGTTTCAAAACCTGGTAGAGGGGCGGGACATTTGGTTGAAATATACAGGTTCAAGAGTGAAAATGGTCCAGTGTTCATGGTTTGCTCTTAAAGAGCTGATTTTAGACACAATATTAGACTGATTCCTTCGTAGTGATCGCATAAAGATTTTTGTCTTAAAATAGAACGACAGGTGATCGAGTCTACTTAGGCGGGATTAAATCCAGTTCCCGTATCCTAGTCGATATCTTAGTAAATCTAACTTTCAGAACTGGAATGTTTCCATCTTGGTGTTCCTCATTTTTGCCCTCGAGTAAGTATGGATTTTTCAATTCCATAAAGAGTTGGAAGGCCAATGTTGATATCCCATCCAGACCGTTTGGTAACAGTAGGCAACTTGAGAGTCGTGGGAGATGAGGTAGACTCGTCTCAAAAGTGTTTCACCCATAGTTCCAATGTCCTGCGCTGAAATTGGATTATTTCCACTCTTACTAACACCCAAATTTTCAATACCGAGCTTTAGATAAATATGAAAATTTGTCTATTGTTCCTCACAGCCGTTACCTTTTCCATTTCATCTGGGTTCGCTACCCACCGTAACTAACGACCATCGCGTAGACCTTTCATCAGTCTATGTTTAGGTTGCCTTTGCTCCTCAACCTATTCCAAGCCTTATGGAATAGATTACAGAGCATCCCTCCCCTCAGTAGTCGTAACCGAAATACATTTATTTTCCCTGTTTTGGTTTAAGTAACTGGTAAATATCAATGCAATTTCACAGCTGTTTGGATAACTAGTCAACATACATGATGCTGCATTTCACTTTCATGACTGACTAATTTTTTTCTGGTTGTTCCAGACTTCCTCATCAATAAGCTGAGCCCCAAAGTCTTATTGATGTGACCTCTCTATCTCTATTAAGACAGACAGATGAATGCTTTCACTCGAGCACAATCAGTCTGAATATGTGCTCCATAATGAGCGCGTCTTTT